TTGCAGCAATTGAAGCAAGCTGCGGACGATGGAGGAGGAGGAGGAGGAGGAGGAGGAGGCGGAGGAAGAAGAAACCGGGACATTTTGCAAACAGCTGGGAAACGATGCAAACAGCTGCGGACGATGGAGGAGGAGGAGGAAACTGGGACATTTTGCAAACAGCAGGGAAAACAGGAAGATATAGGATTAATCGTGATGGATCTGGACTACTGCTCCCTTCATCCTCTATCAATTTCTTACAAAACCCAGCAGTATTACAAGCTGGATCAAACAAACAATGAGTACAAACCCCATTTGTACTTTGAATGCATTTGCTGCCATTGAAGCAAGCTGTGGACGATGGAGGAGGAGGAAGAGGAGGAAACTGGGACATTTTGCAAACAGCTGGGAAAACAGGAAGACATAGGATTAATTGTGATGGATCTGGACTACTACTCCCTTCATTCTCTATCAATTTCTTACAAAACCCAGCAAACAAACAAACAATGAGTACAAACCCCCTTTGTACTTTGAACGCATTTGCAGCAATTGAAGCAAGCTGTCAACGATGGAGGAGGAGGAAGAGGAGGAAACCGGGACATTTTGCAAACAGCTGGGAAAACAGGAAGACATAGGATTAATCGTGATGGATCTGGACTACTACTCCCTTCATCCTCTATCAATTTCTGACAAAACCCAGCAATATTACAAGCTGGATCAAACAAACAAGCAAATACACACACACATACACACACACATCAAACAGATAGATAGTTAGATAATTTGCTACTGTTATTTTGCTATTGTTATGTGGATCTACCATATGATGCATATAATGCACCACCATATAATGCACAAATACCTATATGCCCAAATTTGAATAATGATGGGGTTGCAGGGGGATTGATTTTGCAATTTGGCAGTTGTAGTTGCTGGGATTTATAGTTCACCTACAATCAAAGAGCATTCTGAGCTCCACCAACGATGGAATTGAACCAAACTTGGCACACAGAACTCCCATGACCAACAGAAAATACTGGAAGGGTTTGGTGGGCATTGACCTTGAGTTTTGGAGTTGTAGTTCACCTACATCCAGAGAGCACTGTGAATTCAAACAATGATGGATCTGGAACAAACTTGGCACGGATAGTCAATATGCCCAAATGTGAACACTGGTGGAGTTTGGGGAAAATAGACATTGATATTTGGGAGTTGTCATTGCTGGAATTTATAGTATAGCAACAATCAGAGAGTATTCTGAACTCCACCAACTATCGAATTGAACCAAACTTGGCACACAGAACTCCCATGACCAACAGAAAACACTGATGAGCATTGCCCAATCAGGGCCAGCTAACAATTCCCAAAAAAGGATTCCCCCAGGCAGGAAGCAGTCAGGCCTTGAAGCTGCAAGGCCATTCAATTCTAATTAAGGTGGCCAATTGAAGCATTCACATTTGCCTCAAACAGACAAGAGTTCTTTCTCCCACCCTGGACATTATTCCACAGATATATAAACCCCAGATAGATAAGATAAGATAGATGAGATAAATAGAGAGATAGATGATACATAGACATCTATAGATAATAGACAGACAGATGGACAGATGAGATAGATCAATAGATAGATAGATAGATAGATAGATAGATAGATAGATAGATAGATAGGCATCTAGAGATGATAGCAACATAGACAGATAGATAGATGAGATAGATAGATGAGATAGATAGATGATAGATAGATAGACATCTATAGATGATAGCTACATAAGACAGACAGATGAGATAGATCGATAGATCAATAGATAGATAGATGATAGATAGATAGATAGCCATATATAAATGATAGTGACATAGACAGATAGATAGATGAGATAGATAGATGATAGATAGATAGGTGATAGATAGACATCTATAGATGATAGCTACATAAGTCAGACAGACAGACAGATGAGATAGATCGATAGATCTATAGATCGATAGATCAATAGATAGATAGATAGATAGATAGATAGATAGATAGGCATCTAGAGATGATAGCAACATAGACAGATAGATAGATGAGATAGATAGATAGATAGATACATACATATATACATAGATGATAGATAGACATCTATAGATGATAGCTACATAAGACAGACAGATGAGATAGATTGATAGATAGGCATCTAGAGATGATAGCGACATAGACAGATAGATAGATGAGATAGATAGATGAGATAGATAGATGATAGATAGATAGACATCTATAGATGATAGCTACATAAGACAGACAGATGAGATCGATAGATCAATAGATAGATAGATCGATAGATGGTAGATAGATAGGCATCTAGAGATGATAGTGACATAGACAGATAGATAGATGAGATAGATAAATAGATAGATAATTTCCAACAGACTTCACAACCTCTGAGGATGCCTGCCATAGACTTAGGTGAAACGTCAGGAGAGAATGCTTCTGGAACATGAACAGACTGCCCAGAAAACTCACAGCAACCCAGTATATTATTATTTTTATCCATTTTCATAGATATCTTGTGGACTTAAATGGTAATCTATCTCCTAAAATGCACCTGAGGGCCAGTGTAAGCCACCAAAAGGAAATTTCTCATGTTTATAGGCTATTGGAGTATTTAATTTGCATATATGATTAGGCCAATATATATTTTTATTTGCATATTGTAGATCATCTGTGTCTCATATCAGGCTGTGTTATTATTTTGCTTTTGGCGCCACATACTGGCCATAGGTGGTATTGCATGCAGAGACTAATAAAGCAGACCAACAAAAGTCATCGTGTTAAGACTCTGCATTCAATGGGAGATCACACTGGGAAAATCCTTGCAAGAATTCTTGGAAAATGACTTCTACCTGTCTCAGAAGACACTTGCGGCTCCTCCACGATGACATGATGGCAACAGTCTTGGACAGCAATGGCTCCCAAAGTGATCCATTTAAGGTGGAATCAGGTGTCAAACAGGGATATGTTATTGCCCCAACCTTATTTTCCATCTTCATCGCTATGATACTTCAATGTGTCTTCCTTCCTGGCAAGAAGGGGTTGGACTGGATGGCCCTTGGGCCTTCTCGGTGGTGGCCCCTCAACTCTTCCTTCCTGGCAAGAAGGGGTTGGACTGGATGGCCCTTGGGCCTTCTCGGTGGTGGCCCCTCAACTCTGGAACTCCCTCCCCAAGGACATCAGGCATGCCCCAACATTGGCAGTCTTCAGAAGGAGCTTGAAAACATGGATGTTCCAGTGTGCCTTCCCAGATTAAGGAATCCCAAGCAATATGTCCCAAATGTCCCAAATGCACTTTATGAGAGAGTTAGAATTGTCTGTATACCCACTTACTCCCAAATATTTATCGTCTATGTATCTATCCATCTATCTATGTAGCCATCATCTATCTATCTCATCTATGTATCTATATCACCTATCTATGTGTCTATCATCTATGTATCTATCTCATCTGTCACATCTACCTATCTATTTATCTATCTATCTATCTATCTATCTATCTATCTATCTATCTATCTATCATCTATCCATTTATCTGTCTCATCTATCTATCTAGCTCTCTAATGTCTTTGTCCAAAGGAGACGTCGCTCCAATCCAATCTCCCGTAAAAATTTTTGCCTTTTCAAATTGTGAATCCAACATAACCTTTAATAGGGTATTTAGATAGATAGATAGATAGATAGATAGATAGATAGATAGATAGATAGATAGTACAGATAGATAGATAGATAGATAGAGTATAGATAGATAGATAGATAGATAGTAATAGATAGATAGATAGATAGATAGATAGATAGATAGATAGAGTATAGATAGATAGATAGATAGATAGATAGTACAGATAGATAGATAGATAGATAGATAGATAGATAGATAGATAGATAGATAGATAGATAGATAGATAGATAGATAGATAGATAGATAGTATAGATAGTATAGATAGATAGATATAGTACAGATAGATAGATAGATAGATAGATAGATAGAGTATAGATAGATAGATAGATAGTACAGATAGATAGATAGATAGTACAGATAGATAGATAGATAGATAGATAGATAGATAGATAGATAGATAGATAGATAGATAGATAGATAGATAGATGATAGATAGATAGTACAGATAGATAGATAGATGATAGAGATAGATAGATAGATAGATAGATAGATAGATAGATAGATAGTACAGATAGATAGATAGATAGATAGAGTATAGATAGATAGATAGTATAGATAGTATAGATAGATAGATAGAGTATAGATAGATAGATAGATAGATAGATAGTACAGATAGATAGATAGAGTATAGATAGATAGATAGATAGTATAGATAGTATAGATAGATAGAGTATAGATAGATAGATAGATAGATAGATAGATAGAGTAGATAGATAGATAGATAGATAGATAGTACAGATAGATAGATAGATAGTACAGATAGATAGATAGATAGATAGATAGATAGATAGATAGATAGATAGATAGATAGAGTATAGATAGATAGATAGATAGATAGATAGTACAGATAGATAGATAGATAGATAGAGTATAGATAGATAGATAGATAGTAGATAGATAGATAGATAGATAGATAGATAGATAGATAGATAGATAGATAGATAGATAGATAGATAGATAGATAGATAGATAGATAGATAGATAGATAGATAGATAGATAGATAGATAGATAGATCTTTTTTCACCTGGACATGCCCAGCATTAAAAAAAAAAATTAATCATTACATTTGGCCCTGCCAGGTTTTAAATTGTGTTGTGATATTTTGTTATTGTCTTTGCTTTGCTATGAGTTATTTATTGTTGTATTGTATTGTTGTGGTTGTGTTTTTGTTCTAATGTATTTTGGGCTCGGCCTCTTGTAAGCCGCACCGAGTCCTGCGGGAGATGGTAGCAGGGTATAAATAAAGGATTATTATTATTATTATTATTATTATTATTATTATTATTGGGGGTCCCTTCCAACTGTGTTATTCTCTGTTATTCGCCCCTCCCCTCCAATTGAGATGGGTCTCCTGGGGTTTCGAAGGAGGTGGTTTTCTTTCTCTCCTCCTCCCTTTGGGGTTTAGACAGGCGACAGATGCTTATTCCAACCAGAGGCCAGGAAGGAAGGAAGAGTTAGTCGGAAGATCCCTCCATCCCTCAACAGGTAAGAAAGAGCATCAGTCCTCACAAACCTTTCTTCCTCCTTAACAGTATTCTAAAAACTTAAGAATTGAGTGTTTGGGTGGGAGATCAATACTCTATTTCCAATGGGAAAGATCCAAGAGGGAGTTGAAAGAGACTTCAAAGGTGATAAGAATGCAGTGATAGGAATATAGAACTATAGAGATGGGATCTATCTATCATCTATCTATCTATCTATCTATCTATCTATCTATCTATCTATCTATCTATCTATCTGTCAATGTACATATACATCTATCTATGTCCATATACATCTATCTACGTCCATATACATCTATCTATCTATCTATCTATCTATCTATCTATCTATCTATCTATCTATCTATCTATCTAATGGTATTCTAAAAACTTAAGAATTGAGTGTCTGGGTGGGAGATTAATATCTTATTTCCAGTGGGAAAGATCCAATCCGGTGATAGGAATATAGAATTATAGAGATGGGATCTATCTATCTATCTATCTATCTATCTATCTATCTATCTATCTGTACCATATATATATCCCCTATTAAAGGTTATGTTGGATTCACAATTTGAAAATGTAATATTATTGCGGGAGATTGGATTGGAGCGACATCTCCTTTGGACAAAGACATTAGAGAGCTAGATAGATAGATGAGACAGATAAATGCATAGATGATTGATAGATAGATAGATAGGTAGGTAGGTAGGTAGGTAGGTAGGTAGATGTGACAGATGAGATAGATACATAGATGATAGACACATAGATAAGTGATACAGATACATAGATGAGATAAATAGATGATGGCTACATAGATAGATAGATGAAATAGATGGATGAATACATAGATAAATAGATACAAAGATAGATAGATGATAGATAGATAGATAGATAGATAGATAGATAGACAGATATATGAAATAGAGACATAGATGATAGATAAATAGATGATAGACACATAGATAGATAAATAGACACATAGATAGATGGATGAGATGAATAGATAAATGATAGATACATAGATAGATGATAGCTAGATGTGATAGATGAGATAGATACATAGATGATAGATACATATATAGATGATAGATAGATGTGATAGACATATATGAAATAGAGACATTGATAGATAAATAGATGATAGACACATAGATAGATGAAATAGATACATAGATGAGATAAATACGTAGATATAGATGAGATAGATAGATAATGGCTACATAGATACATACATAGACAATAGATATGTAGATGGATAGATGAGATAAATAGATAAATTATAGATACATAGATGATAGATGTGATAGATAGATGAGATAGATGCATAGATGATAGACACATAGATAGGTGATACAGATACATAGATGAGATAAATAGATGATGGCTACATCGATAGATGAGATAGATGGATAGATACATAGACGATAAATAGATACATAGATGAGATAAATAGATAAATGATAGATACATAGATAGATGATGGATAGATGTGATAGATAGATGAGATACATAAATGATAGATACATAGATAGATGATAGATAGATGTGATAGACAGATATATGAAATAGAGACATTGATAGATAAATAGATGATAGACACATAGAGAGATAAATGAAATAGATACATAGATGAGATAAATACGTAGCTATAGATGAGATAAATAGATAGATGATGGCTACATAGATAGATGAGATAGATGATAGATAGATAAGATACATACATAGATACATAGATGATAGATATGTAAATAAATAGATATCTCATCTATTTACTTAGATAAATAGATGAGAAAAATAGATAAATTATAGATACATAGATAGATGATAGATTAGGTAGGTAGGTAGGTAGATAGATAGATAGATAAATAGATAGATAGATAGATAGATAGATAGATAGATAGATAGATGAAATAGATAAATAGATGATACATGGATAGATGATAGATAGGTAGATGAGATAAATAGATGATGATAGATAGATAGATAGATAGATAGATAGATAGATAGATAGATAGATAGATAGATAGATGATGCATAGATGTGATAGATAGACAGAAAGATGAGATAGATATAGACAATATAGCCATATAGATCCAGCCAAATAATTAACTAATTATTATTATTATTATTATTTGCCGGCATATCCAATGCAGTGTTCTTTTTTTAATGGTATGAGTCGCTTTGAGTCTTGTTTGAGAGAGGAGAGAAGGGAATAATAATAATAATAATAATAATAATAATAATAATAATAATAATAATATAGAAACACATCCATCTACCATCTTTTCTCATATTTACCTGCTTGGAGATGAGAGGAGGGGTTGTTTTGACTCCCTGGAGCAGCTGGAAAGGCTTGGGCACAGCTGGCAAGTCGCTTTCTCCATTGGGATTCAATGGGAGAAGCAACAACTCCACCTTCTGAACGTCTCTTTGTGCCACCTGTCCTTTGCAGGTGTGGCTTTTGCAGATTCGATTATCCAGAAATGTGATTAACATGGTTTTCTTTAGGAACCTCTAGCTGCAGGCATGGGCCAACTTCGACCCTCCAGGTGTTTTGGACTCCAACTCCCACAATTCCTAACAGCTCTGGCTCCTCCAGTGTATCTTTGGCTTCTTGAAGCAGCACTTTGCACGTGCTCAGCGGCAACGAGAGTCAAAAAATTGAGTTGCAACATAGTGCGAGTTCTCCCTTTTAGCAAGCTTCACCTTCCCCCACCAAAGACATCCAATAGAGCCTTATTGTCCACAGTAAATTCCCTCCTGCCTCAATTTCAGAGCCCTATGGATCAGCGGAATGACTCCGCACATGCTCAGAGGCATGGAGGAACCATAGATAGGATTGTGGCATGAGATGAATCATAGAATCATAGAATCAAAGAGTTGGAAGAGACCTCCTGGGCCATCCAGTCCAACCCCATTCTGCCAAGAAGCAGGAATATTGCATTCAAATCACCCCTGACAGATGGCCATCCAGCCTCTGTTTAAAAGTTTCCAAAGAAGGAGCCTCCACCACACTCCGGGGCAGAGAGTTCCACTGCTGAACAGCGCTCACAGTCAGGAAGTTCTTCCTCATGTTCCTCTCTTGTAGTTTGACTATGATTCTATGATTTTATGTTCAGAGGCATGGAGGAACCATAGATAGGATTGTGGCATGAGATGAGAGTCCTTCCTTTTAATTGGCTTCACTTTCCCCCACCAAAGACATCCAACACAGCCTTATTGCCCACATTAACCTTGATTGAGGTGAAAAAAGGACTCTGCACATACTCAGAGGCCATAGATTGTGTTGTGGACTGCAACATAATGATGAGATTCTCCCTTTTAGCCCAGTTGCTTTTCCTGCTCAAGACCCCAATTGACCCCTCTTGCTGCTCTTTGCCTATCATTGATTGTGGAGATCCTTGGGGTGCAGAAAAATGACTCTGCACATGCTCAGAGGCACTGTGAGGCCATACATTGGGTTGCGGCACGCAATCTCGGTCCTAATGATGATCCTCCCTTGCAGCCAGCTTGCCGGACATCACCAAAGACACCCTAGTGGAGCCCTCTTGCTGCTTGGTGGGCTTTTATCCCCTTTGCCCATCATTGATGGTGGGTTGGGATACAGAAAATGACTCTGCACATGCTCAGAGGCACTGTGAGGCCATACATTGGGTTGTGTCATGCAATATCAGTCCTAATGATGATCCTCCCTTGCAGCCAGCTTTCTGGACATCACCAAAGACCCCCCAGTGGAACCTTATTGCTGCTCGTTAGGCTTGCATCCTCTTTGCCCATCATTGATAGTGGGTTGGGGTGCAGAAAATGACTCTGCACATGCTCAGAGGCACTGTGAGGCCATACATTGGATTGCGGCATGCAATCTCAGTTCTAATGATGATCCTCTCTTGTAGCCAGCTTGCTGTCCATCACCAAAGACCCCCCAGTGGAGCCCTCTTGCTGCTCGGTAGACTTGCATCCCCTTTGCCCATCACTGATGGTGGGTTGAGCTGAAAATGACTCTGCACATGCTCAGAGGCACTCTGAGGCCATAGGTTGGGTTGCGGCACGCAATCTCGGTCCTAATGATGATCCTCCCTTGAAGCCAGCTTGCTGTCCATCACCAAAGACCCCCCAGTGGAGCCCTCTTGCTGCTCCGCAGGCTTTCATCCTTGGCCGTAACCTTTCCTTTGGCCTTGCAGGAGGTGGCGGTGCAATTAGCCCAGGGCTTTGAACCTGTCTGACGAGGGCCAGGAGCCAAGAGAGGAAGAGGAAAGCAGTGGGATAATTAGCCGCGCTTGTTGCCCCCCACCGGTCTCTGTTCCTCTTGGATCATGGCACCGTGCCATGGCTTCCCGCTGCTCCACCGTGTGTGCCGTGCCATACGGTTTCCCTTCATGGCCAACCCGGCTTGCCCTTGGGGGCTTCTGGGGTCCAGCCTCATTCCTTCTTCTTCTTCATCATCATCATCTCAAGCTCCTCCTGATGTATTATTGAATAACAGACGTGGAATCCCGGCCTTTCGGCGGCGTAATTATAAACAACTTCAATGATTCCTAATGGAAAACTGACAAATCGTCAATTAACATCAGGCCATTCTTAGAGGAATACTAGCCGTGCCCTGCCAGGTGTTGCTGTGGCCCAGTCTGGTGATTTGGAAAATAAAGTAATGAGGAAGTATTGGTTTCTAAGATTTGGACACTATACCCCTAACTCATAACCCCCCCCCCCAAAAAAACCAGCAAAAAAGACTTTAAAACCCCAAAAAGCTAAACGACGAAAGCTAAATGATTATACAGAAAAAAAGGGAAGGAAGAGGGAGGGAAAGAAGGGGAGGAAGGAAGAAAGAAAGAAAGAAAGAAAGAAAGAAAGAAAGAAAGAAAGAAAGAAAGAGAGAAAGAGAGAAATAAAGAAAGGAAGAGGAAGGAAGGAAAGAGAGGAAGGAAGAAAGGAGAAAAGGGGAAAAGAAAAAAGGGGAAGGAAGGAAAGATGTAGAGAAGGAAGGAGGAAGAAGGAGAGAAAAGGAGGAAGGAAAGAAGAAGGAAGAGGAAGGAAGGAAGGAAGGAGGGAGGAAGGAAGAAAAGAGGTAGGAAGGAAGAAAGAGAGAAAGAAGAAGATAAGAAAAAGGGGGGAAGGAAGGAAAGGTAGGGAAGGAAGGAAGGAAGGAAAAAAAGAAAGAAAAAAGGGAAGGAAGGAAGGAAAGAGGGAGCGAAGGAAGGAGAGGGAAAGAAAAAAGGGAAGGAAGGAAAGAGGAGAGAAGAAGGAGGAAAGAAGAAAGGGAAGAGGGAGGGAAGAGAAAAGGAAGGAAGGAAGAAAAGAAGGAAGGAAGGAAGGAAGGAAGGAAGGGAAGGAGGAAGGAAAGGAGGGAAGGAAGGAAAGAGGTAGGGAAGGAAGAAATGAGAGAAAGAAAAGGTAAAGAAAAGGGGGGAGGAAGGAAAGGTAGAGAAGGAAGGAGAAGAAGAAGGAAGGAGGAAGGAAGGAAGGAGGGAAAGAAGGAGAGAAAAGGGAGGGAAGGAAAGAGAGGAGAAAGGATGGAAGCAAAAAAACAAAGGAAGGAAGGAAGAAGGGAAGGAAGAAATGAGAGAAAAAAGAGAAAGAAAAAGGGGGGAAGGAAGCAAAGGTAGAGAAGGAAGGAAGGAGAGAAAGAAAGAAAAAAGGGAAGGAAGGAAGGAAAGGGGGAGCAAAGGAAGGAGGAAAAGAAGGAAAGAAAAAGGGAGGGATGGAAAGAGAGGAAAAAGGATGGAAGCAAAAAACAAAGGAAGGAAGGAAGTAGGGAAGGAAGAAATGAGAGGAAAAAGAGATAAAGAAAAAGGGGGGAGGGAAAGAGGGAGCGAAGGAAGGAAGGAAAGAAGGAGAGAAAGAGGGGGGGAAGGAAAGAGAGGAGAGGGTGGAAGCAAAAAGCGAAGGAAGGAAGGAAGTAGGAGGAAGGAAGAAATGAGAGAAAAAAGAGATAAAGAAAAAGGGGGGAGGGAAAGAGGGAGCGAAGGAAGGAAGGAAAGAAGGAGAGAAAGAGGGGGGGAAGGAAAGAGAGGAGAGGGTGGAAGCAAAAAGCGAAGGAAGGAAGGAAGTAGGGAAGGAAGAAATGAGAGAAAAAAGAGATAAAGAAAAAGGGGAGAGGGAAGGAAAGGTAGAGAAGGAAGGAAGGAGAGAAGGAAAGAAAAAAAGGGAAGGAAGGAAAGAGGGAGCAAAGGAAGGAGGGAAAGAAGGAAAGAAAGAGGGAGGGACGGTTGGCCACAGCAACTGCGTGGCAGGTACAGCTAGTATACATATATGTGTGTGTGAATCATATCTATCTATCTATATCTATGCCTGGATGGATCTTTGTGAGGAGGGCTTTGATTATGTTTTCTTGCCCTTGTGAAGGATGGCCTTAAGGCAGCATTTCTCAACCTTGGGGTCGGGGCCCCTGGGAGGGTCGCAAGGGGATGCCAAAAGGGTCACCAAAGGCCACCAGAAAACACAGTTTTTTCTATTGGTCATGGAGGTTCTGTGTGGGAAGTTTGGCCCAATTCTATCATTGGTGGGGTTCAGAATGCTCTTTGATTGTAGGTGAACTATAAATCCCAGCAACAACAACTCCCAAATATCAAGGTCTTTTTCTCCCAAACTCCATCTGTGTTTACAATTGGGCGTATGGAGTATTCATGCAAAATTTGGTCCAGATCCTTCATTGTCTCTCCGCCATTCCACCGACAGCAAGGCCAAGCCAGACCGGTTGACTGACCATCATGTCCAACAACATGGCCAAGATCGCCGAAGCCCGCAAGACGGTGGAGCAGCTCAAGTTAGAAGTGAACATCGATCGCATGAAGGTAAGCCTTCCAAACAACTCACAGGTAGGAATGCATGAGCATAATAGCCACAATTGGGTCATCTATCGTGTCAAAGAGCAAAGCGAGCAAACAGTCGCCAAGGGTTGACCCACAAGCATCACAATGCAGTAGTCCAGCTGTGAGGCTGATTCTTTGGAAACTAATTTCTTCTTCTCTGCCAGGTATCCAAGGCAGCAGCTGATCTCTTGGCATATTGCGAAGCCCATGGCAAGGAAGACCCCCTGGTGACCCCCGTCCCGTCTTCGGAGAACCCGTTTCGGGAGAAGCGTCTCTTTTGTATTGTGCTGTAAACCCAAATATCGGGGAGGAAGGCTTCCAAAATCTGTCCTTTTTCGAAGACATCCTTGGCATGAAGCATAAAGTGGAGTAGAAACCCTAGGATTAAATAGGAGGGGAAAGTATATGTATGTACGCATGTATGTTTGTTTGTGTATACTTTACTGTCCTTATGCAATATCTATAGTTAGTATTTTCAGACATTTTATCCTGTGTATCCTTTCTCTCATGTTGTCCATCTTGTGATTCCCATCTGTTTACCAAAACTCAGAAGATACAAAATTGTACAGAATACACAATCTCAGATGGCAGAAATAAATAAGTTACCAGACTTGGCCATAATAATAATAATAATGGGTTGTTGTAGGTTTTTTCGGGCTATATGGCCATGGTCTAGAGGCATTCTCTCCTGACGTTTCGCCTGCATCTATGGCAAGCATCCTCAGAGGCTGTGAGATCTGTTGGAACTAGGAAAATGGGTTTATATATCTGTGAGGATATATAAACCCTTATATATCTCTGAGGATATCTATATATCTCTGAGGATGCTTGCCATAGATGCAGCGAAACGTCAGGAGAGAATGCCTCTAGACCATGGCCATATAGCCCGAAAAAGCCTACAACAACCCAGTGATTCCGGCCATGAAAGCCTTTGACAATAATAATAATAATAATAATAATAATAATAATAATAATAATAATACATCACACAGTTCTAAACTCTTGGGAAGTGTTCGACTTGTGATTTTGTGATACGAAACCCAGCATATATCTCTCGTTTGCTGTGACATACTGTGCTTTTGTGTCAGTAAAACAATAATAATAACAATAATAATAATAAATAGCAATATTTTTTTTTGCCTGCCTCTCCTCATGGTTCGAGGCAGGTCACAACGTTACTAAAACATAAACAAACACATAATCGTTTCAAAACACTCTGTAACATGGAGTTTAAAATTCAGCATTAAAATTAAATATTCTAAAGGATTTCACATGATCTTGGATGCTAAGCCGGGTCAGCCCTGGCTAGTCCTTTAATGGGAGACCGCCAATGAATCTCAGGTGCGGAAGGCTACATTTCGGGGAAAAGCAACAAACAAACCCAGCTCTGAGCGTCCCTTGACTAATCCCATCCCTGCTTTACATTCACCTCTTTGTGACTCCGAGGAGGATCGGATTATATTTCTCTTTCCCAACAACGAGCAAATGACAGCTTGCTGAAATTAGCCTATGATTTGTTCTGCAAGATCCAATTAACCAGATGCTAATTTGACATTTTTTCCTTGATCACCAAGCCAGTAATTTCATTGCTGGCTCCGTCTGGGTCTTTAACCGAAATCGTCATCTTTGAGAGAGAGACACAGAAGTTTAAATCCACTTGCATTGCCATGGCTTCATCCTATGGAATAATGGGAGTTGTAGTTTTACAAGATCTTTATCCTTCTCTGCCAAATGGTTCCTCATCAAACGGCAACTCCAAGGATCCCATGGCATTGAGCAAAAACAGTTTAAGGTCCTCATCACACTAGAGAATGAATCCACTTTAAATCTGGTTGCTGCTTCCTGCAGAATTATGGGGTTTATAGTTTAGGGAGGAGCTTTTAACAACCTCACTAAACTACAAACCCCAAAATTCTGCAGGAGGCAGAAACCAGATTTAAAGTGGATTCATTCTCTAGTATGATGGTGGTGTCAAACTGTGTTTATTCTACAAAATAGATGCCCTCCGGGTTACATAATTGTAGACAGACTTTGGGGGTTTTGCCCAAAAATGGTAGCCAGTTTTATGTTTGTTATTGTGGGTTTCAACTCAGTTGCTTGGCTGCAATATTTTGAGCTGATTAAAGTTACTAAAAAGTTTCCAAAAAGTTTCTGAAAAGTTTCCAAAAAGTTTCTGAAAAGTTTTCAAAAAGTTTCTGAAGTTTCCAAATAGTTTTTGAAAAGCTTCCAAAATGTTTCCAAAAAGTTCCCGAAAACTTTCTGCAAAGTTGCTCAAAGCTTTCTGAAAACTTTCCAAATAGCTTTTGAAAAGTTACCAAAAATGTTTCCAAAAAGTTCCTGAAAACTTTCTGCAAAGTTGCTCAAACCTTTCTGAAAAGTTTTCAAATAGTTTTTGAAAAGTTACCAAAAATGTTTCCAAAAAGTTCCTGAAATGTTTTCTGCAAAGTTGCTCAAAGCTTTCTGAAAAGTTTCCAAATAGTTTTTGAAAGTTATCGAAAACTTTCCAAATAGTTCCTGAAAACTTTTTGCAAAGTTGCTCAAAGCTTTCCAAAAAGTTTCCAAAAGGGTTTCAAAAAGTTACTGAAAACTTTCCAAAAAGTTCCTGAAAACTTTCTGCAAAGTCGCCCAAAGCTTTCCGAAAAGTTTCCAAAAGGTTTTCAAAAAGTTACCAAAAACTTTCCAAAAAGTTCCTGAAAGGTCGCCCAAAGCTTTCCGAAAAGTTTCCAAAAGATTTTCAAAAAGTTACCAAAAACTTTCCAAAAAGTTCCTGAAAGGTCGCCCAAAGCTTTCCGAAAAGTTTCCAAAAGATTTTCAAAAAGTTACCGAAAACTTTCCAAAAAGTTCCTGAAAGGTCGCCCAAAGCTTTCCGAAAAGTTTCCAAAAGATTTTCAAAAAATTACCAAAAACTTTCCAAAAAGTTCCTGAAAAGCTGCTCAAAGCTTTCCGAAAAGTTTCCAAAAGGGTTTCAAAAGGTTCCCGAAAACTTTCACAAAAGTTCCTGAAAACTTTCTGCAAAGTTTCTTAAAACTTTCTGAAAAGTTGCCAAAAAGTTTTCAAAAACGTTTCCGAAAACTTTCCAAGAAGTTCCCAAAAACTTTCTAAAAAGTTCCCAAAGTAAGGAAAAGTGTCCCAGTCCGGCTCTCCCACGCTCTTCTGTCTGGTTCACGTCACCCTGAAATCCAAGATTAATTTTGTGAGAGAAAAGATGCCGGCGGATGTCTCTGAATCCAAATTCAGGGGAAAAGGTCTCTCTTTGGTCCGGTGTCCTCCGATGTCAAGCAACACATCATTCTTCAGATGGAAGGAATATCATGAAGAGGTGAATTGGACCACAGCTTGGGAAATATATATTGTACGTTTTGCAATGCACTTTGGAGGCTTTGGAGATGGAGTCTAGACTAAACCGGCAGCCAATTCCTCAGACAGGCTCGCTCCTCCTCGGCAACATCAAGAGGGGCAGGAGGTCAGCCGGTAACAAGGGGAAGAAAATCATTATTATTTGCAGAATGGTGAGTGAGATGGGAAAGAATGTGCATGAATCATCCAAGCAGATGGAAGCCATTCAGCAAAAAGGGAAAATCTCTTCCGCAGCTTTGGCTTACAAACCGGCAGAGCTCAGAGAAACTTCTCTTCGTCCCCATAATTCCCAAGCAAGCCTCCTGGGAATTGTGGCCCAAAGGCCATAAAATAGAGTGGAAATTCCTTTATTGTGACATTGGACCCAGCTTTTAGGATTTGCCAAAAGCCAAATATAATAATAATAATAATAATAATAATAATAATAATAATAATAATAATTCTCATCTGCCTCTCCTCACGGCTCGAGGCAGATTACAAATTGGTAAAACACAAATCGAAACACGCAATCATTTAAAAACACTACATAGAATACACATATTATTATTTATTTATTTATTTATTTATTATTTGCACTTGTTAACCGCCACTCTCAGCCCGAGGGCGACTCGTGGCGGTGTACAGAACATAGAAAAAGACAACAGTTTACAATAAATCAAGACCAATACAACAACGAATTAAACTAAAAATCCGCATTCGTCTAGTTTGGAGTCATAATCAATCTCATAGTCATAGTACATTCCGGTGGTCATTCCAACAACGTAGCACTTAGTTGAAGGCCTTTTCGAAGAGCCAGGTTTTCAGGCCCTTGCGAAAGGCCATGAGGGAAGGCGCCTGTCTGATTTCAGCAGGGAGGGAGTTCCATAGCCGAGGGGCCACCACCGAGAAGGCCCGCTTTCTCGTCCCCGCCAGGCGTGCCTGAGAGGCAGGCGGGACCGAGAGAAGGGCCTCCCCAGATGATCTCAAGGTCCTCGTGGGCTCGTAGGCCGAGATGCGGTTCGCAAGGTATTTTGGGCAAGGTATTAAAGCATATTTCTATAAAATACATATTAAAATACGCAAAAATTACTATATAGAGCAGTGGTTCTCAACCTCCCTAATGCCGTGACCCCTTAATACAATCCCTCATGTTGTGGTGACCCCCAACCATAATATTGTTTTCGTTGCTACTTCATAACAGTCATTTAACTACTGTTATAAATCATAATGTAAACATCTGATATGCAGGGTGTATTTTCATTCACTGGACTAAACTGGGCACAAATACACCATGCAACTACATGTGAACGCTAGTGGGGTTGGGGGAGGATTGATATTGTAATTTGGGAGTTGTAGTTGCTGGGATTTATAGTTCACCTATAATCAAAGAGCACTCTGAACTCCACCAGTGATGGATTTGAACCAAATTTGCCACACAGAACTCCCATGACCAATGGAAAACACTGGAAGGGTTTGGTGGGTATTGACCTTGAGTTTGGGAGTTGTAGTTCACCTATATCCAGAGGGCACTGGAGCTTGGGGAAAATAGACCTTGACTTTTGGGAGTTGTGGTTGCTGGGATTTATAGTTCATTACAATCAAAGAACATTCTGAACTCCACCAATGATAGAATTGGCTCAGACTCCCCACATGGAATCCCCATGACCATCAGATATTACTGTGTTTTCTGATGGTCTTTGGTGACCCCTCTGACACCCCTTCGCGACCCCCTCAGGGGTCCCGAACCCCATGTTGAGAAACACTGATATAGAGAGATAGAGATATAGGTAAATGTGCTGTCGCGCACTGGGCCTATAGCAATTGGCTTTTGAACAGGACATGCTCTTTGTGCCCAGCGGGAAGCCGGGGTGCCTCGGATGAGAGGCCCTATGGGTTTTCCTATACAAAGACTTTAGAAGCCTAAAAGTTTAACAAAGTTCTTTATTATTGCTTAGGTCTTCAACAAATCATACAAATGTTTCTTAGCTTGTCTACAATGGACAGGCAACTCGCTTGGAGAACTATTTTCTTTCTTTTACAAGGAAAACCCTTTTTGACCCCTTCCTGGGCAATCTGCTTTCTAGGCTTTGCTGGTGTGGGTTCTACTCCCGGCTCCAAATTGCTTCTTGGGTACCCGAGTAGAC